TGTACTTCTGTGTCTCCATGGCCATAAACACAAGTCCAGTGTCTCTAGGCAAACACACACACACACACACACACAGTTCAAGTTCAAACACACAAACTCAAACACACCCACACAGGGAGTGGTCAGGTTGATTATTAAACCAGGAGCCGTCTAAAGTCTTTATTAATATCTGCGACTATGGAGCACAGCCACACAGCCACACACACACACACACACACACACAAAGGTGTGAATGAGCCACAGCCTCCACTGAAGCTCAGGGTCTCTGAGTTTGTCTTTGTCAAAGTCACAGTTACATAATGAGACTCCTAAATCTTTGGTGGAGGCAGGGAGAGGGACAGTGTTAGGGTGATGTGGAGCAGGACTCACTGAGTCAGGACGGGGTTCAGAGCCTCAATATAAAACACAGGAACAGTCTCCCTGGGGTCTGAAACAGGAGCTGCAGATTAAAGGGTGACTCTTTGATTAGTTATCCATTATTTATTCTCCTGGACATTAGAGGACAGGCCTGACCTCACACTCCACAGACCATAGATATGGATGTGAGCAGTAATGGTTTTTCTCTGTATGAGGACTAAGGTATGAATTATTAGGGCTGGGCTGAGTTAACAGGTTATAACTATTATAACTGAGGAGTTAAAGTCACTAGAGTACTTAAGAGTACTAATACTTGAAGTATACAGTACAGACTGTTGATGCCAGAAAATCACCTTCAGGAGAACCAGAACAACCAGCTGACATTGTTCTCTACATTAGAGGTAACTACACATTAACTGGACGATTTTGTCACTGTCTTATCATTGAATTGGTAGGTCATTAAATGGCAGGGTGTAAGAATGTGTCTACAAGTTCGACACTGGTTTGACTTTCAGTGCAACGTGACAAGTTACACAGCATTCACCTAACATTCCATTACACTGTTCATTTTCAGTTCATCTTTAAGGCCCAAATGCAGGAAATAGAAATTCTCTCCCAACCCTTGATTCTTTCAGCCCCATTAAATCAGCATTTTTGGAATTTCTCTACATTTCTGTAATATTTGTTTCTCAAATTTGTAACAGCTATTCCCTTTACCATCTTCATTGCTAACTCTGAGCTATTTTTTGTTTGTTGCGTCTGGTTAACATTGGATTTTAAGTGGTAGTTATTATTTCTAAATTATCTCTTCACAATTCCTTGCCATATTTTTAATAACCACGTTTACTAACAGTCTTTGTTCATTGTTATATTTTCCGATTCATTTTTTTAAGCAAAGATATTTGTCACTTCCAGAGATCCAACATTCTCTGACCAGGTGTGAGAAGCAGACAAAATCAATTGGCTGACCAGTCAATAAGTTAGTCACAGATTTTCACTCTGTTGACGTTTCTACCAGCTCCAACCCTCGGAGGGAAACTTCATGTCCCAGCAGCAGGGAGTAAAGCAGCTTCTACTTTTGGAGCCACATTCACCATCTGTGTGTGTGTGTGTGTGTGTGTGTCTGCACAGGAACCCTGTATGGTCACAGAACGACTGCAGCCATGGCTGCTCTGTTTATCTGCATCTTTATATGTGAGTGTGTGGAGAATATGTGGCAGTGGCACCATAAAAGGGAGAGTCAGAGAGATGGAGGAGGTGCAGAGGAGGAGGTGCAGTGGAGATGGTAGTGATGATGATGATGCTACATTCCTCTTCATATTGGGCTGTGCTGTTTCAGGGAACAATGCTGCATTTACTTGTCTTAAGAGCGTTTTCCTGCCGACTCACAAAAACACTCGTCCTGTCTGCATCCTGAAGCCTCACCAACAATGGACACTTGTGTTCATTTAAACATAAAATTGAGCATCATGAGGTCGTTGCAGTGGCAGACAATGTGTTATATATGGTTATTTTCACACAAAATAGAGCAATAACAAAAAACAATCTATCAAACAATAAGTCAATGTCAGCAAGTTTACCTGCATTTAGAATCATCGCAGTAGAAAAAAATGAAGATTAAAAACAGCTTCACTTGTCTCACAATGGGAGAACGAACATTTAAAAACAAAATAAAAGAGTTTAAAGAAAAGTAAAAACTGAAAAAAGTAAAGCTAAACTAAACTAAAATAAAGTAGAAGCTGCAATAACTGGTTGCTCCTATGGAGGCGCCCTATTACAATCAAAAAGGCTGCCAGCAGGGACCAAGGGGCGGGGGAGTTTGCTAATTAACAGAAAGCTCTCTGAAGAAAATGACTCCAGTTTAATGTGATCATAATTTAATACAGTCAAGCAGAGTTTTCCCATCACAACCTCAGATCTCAGGCCTGAAGCCATAGAGAAAATAATGAATTGAATCGACTACAAAATGACCAACAAACGTTTGTCTGTCAGACTAAAGCAATGATTCTTTCTATGGAGTTTGGTGCAGAAGAGTAATAAAATGAATTTTAGGTTTGATCATCGTAGACTGCTGCAGGTTTCTGTCAGAGTCCCACCTCAGCACAGACATCTGTGTTGATCAGGTGTCAACAACAACAGCTCTGATCTGGATTCATGACTGGAACCTCACAGTACTGCAGAGCTCTTTGTGCTAAAGGACGACTAAGTTTTCCGCATGTTAACGAGATTGAATGGCCGACCGTGACTCGACCTCCAAACGCTGACCACCTCAGTGAGCTACAGGCTTGTCTGAACAGGCTGCACATCCTGGTCGTCACGGAGACCACAGCGTCCTGTTCTGACTGTTCTGCTGCGGCTCCGTGAACTGGTACAAGAACATGAGGATGAATGTCAATGAGCAGTGATCAGGATCGATGTTGGCCTCCGTCAGCGCAAAGAGAGGTGCTGCAGCCCGACAGGAGCAGGAGGAGGAGGAGGAGGAGGAAAAGAAGAAGGAGGAGGTGGTGCAAAAGGAGGAGGGGAATTTATTGGCTGGTATTTTAAAAAGTGCTCAGTCATGGTCATGTTCCTGCTGTGCCAGGATGAGTCACAGAAAAGTCACCATCAGGTGGTGGAGATTTTTCATCAGGGATTTTACCACATGTACTCACTGTCTCTCCTGAACTCCCCTGAATGTGGAAGATTTATAGAAATACACATTTAATAAATGTATTAACGGAAGAAAACCCTGTCTGGCCTGACCTCACCAGTGTGTACTTGCTCAAGGTCAAGGTCGACTGACTGCATCCATCCATCCATTTTCAACCGTTTATCTGTTACCAGGTTGTGGGGGCAGCAGTCTCTATGACCACCACTCAAATCACACTGCACCGTACCAACCCCCCTGAACCTTCCTGCAGGTGGTGAGTCCACTGGAAGGTACCAACCACCCTGACTGGGATTTGAACTTGCCCAGGAGGTGAACCCTGGGGTTCCACACCAATGACAGAGACGTTGACTCTGGGCCAAAGCTCCACTTGACTAACTGCAGTTGTACTAAATTGTCAGAGTGTGCTTTTACCTAGCAAAGTGATCAACATGTCCTTTCATGTACTCTGCAACATGAACCAGGCCTTTAGAAGAGCAGTCTGATATTTAGATCTTTAGTTCTTTTTCAAAACCTAAAATAGAAACGGCGACCTTGTGAGAAGTGACAGTAAAAAGCTGCGGCCTCAGCCATGAGTTTCCTCTCATTTTCATATTTCAAACTGTTGTTTTCAGTTTCAGAACACCCTTGTCATTCGTAGGAACTCAGCGTACCATTGTAGGTATCTGTTGGTTGATGTTAGGACGTTTGTCGCACCTCATCAGCTTTAGTGTGAACGTGTGTCTCTCACCTTGTTTCTTCAGAGCAGCCTTGGCGTGCTTTACTGCCTCCCAGGGGCTGGGGATGTCCAGGAACACAGCGTCGGCCACTCCTGTCACTCCAAAGCCGTCCTTACACACGTCCTGGTTCCTGACGGTGACCAGGTGATCCACACGATGTTCTTTAAACTCCTCTGCCACCTTCTCCGCCCTCTGCTGATGAAACTCCACTGTGTGCAGGTGACCCGTAGGGGCGATGGTTCGCAGGATGGCGTGGGACAGAGAACCACTGCCGGTACCTGCAGCACAGAAGACACGTTCTATAACCAGAACTGAAGGACATCATGGGGCTGCACAACTGCCGCATTTAGAGAACGTTTTCCTAGGACAGTGAAGGCATCACTGCCGAAACTTTGCCTTAAAGGAGTTGGTTTAGCTCCTTCTATATTTAAGCTGGAATTTAAATATTGTTGTTATTATTATTCATCTAAAATCTATATTACATCAATGTCACTCATTATTTAATTTTCTTTAATAAAAAAGATGAAGTCAGATTTTCATAGACTCACACATGGAACACAGAGTAAAAACAAATCACCACATTTCATCCACACCTAAACGTCAAAGCTTCAAAGACAGACTTTGTTTATAAATTGTTGGTTTTAATAAATGTCCTGGACTGATCCCACATAAAACAGGAGTCCTCAAGGTTTTTCAGGCAAAGACCCTCAAACAGATGGAAACGTGGAACAGTGACCTTGACCATGTATTGCATAAAATAGTTTAAGATTCAAGAGTTGTATTTGTCACAATGAAATAAAAATTGTAACCGACAAAACTGTTCATAAATTAGAAATTTGATTACATTCATTTGAATGTAAGAAATGAATAAAATAAAAGGAAATACGACTAAATTATTCCCAACTGTTCAAAAATGCCCTTGAAACTAAGATGGAAAGAAACTCAAATAAAAGTCCTTATTTACAACCACTGTGTGTTTAATTCAATATTAATGAACATCCTTCACAGGAGCTTTTATGCAATGAGCCTCGGCTGCAAATTCCTATCTCTAACTGTAACTGAACCTTTCACATCATGTTGTATGAAACCTGATCAACATGCATCAGGTTACAGTCATTTCCTCTCAGAAAACAGAGGTTGAGCAAAAGGAGAAAAAGGATCTGTTCTCATTCCTGTACTGTCACAGTCATAACAAAAGAGCCATGGCTGTTACCACAACTGACTGACACACACACACACACACACACAGCCCCTCTTCACTCTCCCTCTGATAAGTGGATGATACATTTGTGAGTGGGCCTTTACAAACGTCACCACTGCTGCTGCTGCTGTTGCTGCTGCTGCTGCACACAATGCCTGCTAATGTACCATCTGTGGAGGGCCGATGTCAGATTTAGGTGGAGGAAGAGATAAGCCCGGTCATGTGACCAGCAGCTGAGGCAGAGGGAGGGGAGCATCACAGTCAGAGAGGCCGGTGCATCCCATCCTCCATCCTTTCATTCCTCCATCCCCTCAACAGCCCTTGAACCTCCTCATGACATCACCACTGTCTTTGTTAGCACTGCCACAAAGAGGGCAATGTTTGCCCCACCGTCACTCTCTGACTGCCCTCAGCTCACACTGCTCAGCAGTACAGACTGAGAGGGTTGAGGAAGTGAGGAACTGAGAAGGGAAATGAAAGGTTGTAGTGAAAGGACACAGAGGTCATTGGCTAGTCTGACACTGAGACTGACATTCTCTTCAGGCATATAAACTGTATGTCCTTAAAAGACTCCAGAATTTTTCTGCAAGCTCCCAGTAGGATACATTACATTTTCAAGTGCTTCAGGTGTCTAAACCTGCCCTTGAAATAAGGATTCAGAAGACAAACAAACCCAACAATGACCTCAAGACATGGGCTGCATCAAGTGGAAACAGCAGGCGACCAAATACAGAACCACACAGGTAGAACAATGGAACAAGATGATCAGGATAGATGTAAAACTCTGGCTAAGACCTCATCAAACACGGTAGCGTTAGCTCTGCTGTTGCCTCCTGTCCATATTCTGGGGTTTTTAAATGAAACAACATTGACTTCTATTAAGTCTATAAAGCAACACTCAACTGAAGTTGTCCCCGTCATGTTACCAAATGGATAAATACATAAATTAGTCAAGATAACTAAATGATAGCTGTAGAGCAGGACACCAGATCATCATAAAAAAGTGAGCCAAAGGACAGTCAAACATTAGCCTGAAAATATAGGAGCTAAATATTAGCAAAAAGGATTTTCCAAAGAATATTATAAAGTAAGCTGAAGTACCTTAAATTAAAGCTGTGTCAGAAGAAAGAAAAAAAGAAAATATAGCAAAAATGTTTGACAAATGTTACAGTTAGCCATCAATATATAGCATACTTAATCGTAATAAAAGATAGGTATATCAAGAGCCAGAAACTTTGGTCCATCAACATCAGCAGTTTTAGCAAAATTATGAAAATGCTTAAATTAAAAAACTGCAGCTTGATTTTACAGTGGTGAGCAGACGCGGTTCATCTGCAGGTCACACTCCAGTCCAGGTGTACAGAGTCTATGACACCTCCTCCACTGCTGCTCATTAGTCAGAGATGAAACCAAGTCTGATGTGAGATGTGAAGAAGAGGAAGAAGGAGACGTGACTTCTGTCAGACACTGTTCCAGGCTTTTACCACAAGAGGAAACTAACTATCTGTACAACGGACTAAAATATACTAAGGCGGTCATGAACTTTCTGATAAGCACTCTCTTTGCACAACAACACCAGTCTGAAGAAAAACACTGAGAACACTGGATAAAGGCACCTTTTAAGAAAGCTGATCAGGTTGTAGCCAGAAGTCTGTGTAAAGATGTTGACAATAATTGATAATAGTTTCTTTGGGTTTGCTTTATCTTATCACTGCAGTACTTAGACGTCTTATAAGTACTTAGAAGTCAGTACAGTGTCACCACAAAGTGAAACATGTTGCTGAGCACAGACACCAGAACTAATGTTAGCTACAACAGAAGCAGCTACACTTGTCGGTGTCATACCATGACTACACTATCTCGATAAATGTGCTCTGTGAGAAGTGACCTGAGTCCAGACCTAGGTCTGCTCCTCTAAACTGCTGCTAGAAGAAGTCAGTAAGCAGAGGAAACAGAGCATAGAGGCTGAAGACGTGGTGTGGGGGCAGGGAGAGGACTAGAATCACACTGCTGACCTGGACCGTCAGAGTTACTTCATCCCTGCTTTCTGTTCTCTGTCTGAACCAATTACAGCCATAGCATCAGTCTTTCTGAGGGAGGAGAGAAGTGAAACTAGGAGCCAGGTCGGAGAACAGGAGCTGGACACTGGAGAAGGTGAAAGTGAGAATCTGATTGTTCCACTGATGACCCGCTTTGTTCCTGCAGACTCTAGTAAATGATTCACGACCTTCCTGCTCTTTGTTCAAAGGATTTGCATAAATGAGTGATGAGGAGGCGGAGCCAGAATCTGGAACGGCTCAGGTGAGCGTGCAGGTGGAAGTGGAGGAAGTGGATACGAGGATTCAGGAGAGAATTACAAAACTGAAATCTTCCTGACATGAGTTCAAACAAATCTGTGTTTTACAGAACATAATGACGACTGGCTCAGTGTGATGCTCTCATGTATGGGCCAGAATCTCCCAGGAGTGTTTTCAGTACCGTGTTGAATCCAAACCACAAAAGAACGTGTCAAAGATGAAAATTCATCATTACATTTCTTTTTATATATTTTTTCTGGGTGACACTTTGGCCCAGAGTCAATGTCTATGTCATTGGTGTCTGGACAAGATCGAATCCCGGTCAGGGTGGTTGGTCCCTTCCTGTGGACTCACCACCCGTAGGAAGGTTCAGGGGGGTTGGTGCGGTGCAGTGTGATTTGGGTGGTGGTCATAGAGACTGCTGCCCCCATGACCTGGTAACAGATAAACGGTTGAAAATGGATGAATGGATTGATATTTTTTCTGGTTTGATGGTGTGCTGTGGGATTTTTCAAATGTAAATGTATGTACCCTGGTTCCACAGCAGTTGGGATGTTACTGAAGTTGTGTCGCAGGGATTAAATAAACGTTCACTGCTGTTGTGTTGTTCCCCATGGTTTGTTATTGCACACGACCACTGCCTTTTATTCTTATTTCAGGGCTCTAGCCTCACACTTTAAAGTTATCAAACTTACATGTTGGCCATGGATACACTTCATTTTAGGTACCATTTACTAATTACGCTTCACTTGTTTTAAAGTTGACAAGGTAGTTGTGCGTCAGTGCAGGCAGAAAGAGACACATCATCAGAACATCATGTCTAATCTGTGTGTGTTAGTACAGACAAACACTTCAATGAACATGGACCAGATCAACACTGTCACTCTATCAGTGTCAGTCTGCCGTCACTTTATCTATTCATGTCCAAGTTATTCCTCTGGACTGATGATGTCGTTGTGCACATTTACGTGCGCACACTGCTGATTAAATATTCATACAGACAGCATCAGAGAGTCATGTGACACTGATGCAGATAACACAGCTCTCTGCATGCAGCTGCTAGGACTGCTGAGTCAGCATTTCTCCTTTCTCAAGTCACTCTTCACCCCTGAGACCACACACACACACACACACACACCCACACACACACACACTCGCACTCACACTCACAAACACTTTTCACTGAGCACAATCAATTAAGTGACATGCAGTGAAATATGATGGAGCATTGCACCAAACACTCTCACTGCCACACTGGCACACACACACACACCCCAGCCTCCATCCTCCGTGCCACACTGGCACACACACTCCCCAGCCTCCATCCTCCCTCACTTCATCTGGACTGAGAGAAAGAGATTAAGCAGGAACCAAGCGACTGCAATCAAACTAATGGAAATACAGATCAGAGCTGAAGGTGGAGCAGAGGTCCAGGAAAATGATGGGGGAGAAAAAATGAGAGAGAGGGGAGGATACAGAGGGGATAGAATTACATAATCTTCAGCACACTGGTAGGTTTCACACTGTGTGGATCAAACAGATGAGGTCTTTGGTGCAAAACATCTGACAAACTGAAAAATGAGAATTTGCAGTTTAAAGCTTTTGAAAAGTCTGATTTTGAAAAACAAAAACATGTCTGGACAGTTAACAATAACTAATAAAGTGCAGTATATCAGGCCTAACCACACCTTCAACACAAACACTGCCACAGTCAGAAATGGAGTTGGACTCCAACCAGTTAGGGAGAGAAAAATGGTCAGAACTTAATCTTCCATGTTAGTGTCCAACATGTTTATTACATTGGACATTGATGTCATTTTATAATTTAGTAACCAAATGTTGCAATGCAACATGATGGAATTAGGTTCCAAGATCCAATGATGACATTTCAGCATTAGCCTTAACATTACAGTGTTCTCTTTAAATATGAAAGATCACATGCATCACACACACAACGCAGTGTTCAACCTTATTTTCTTTGCTCCTGGAACTTTAACCGTGGATAAAATTACACCTTTTTTCTAATCAAATGAAAACAAACAGGACAATTATAAGATTCTAGTATTTAAATATATGATTTGTGTATTTTTCTTACTTGACAGCAACCTTTATCAGCAGCAGCTAAAAGATGACTGACAACAGCGAGGATGTAAACCACACATTGTCGCCGGTAAAGACTGACAGACTCTTCCTCTTAAAAAGTATTTCACACCAAAACCAGAGTCACATCCGGACTTCAGGATTTATTCTTAGTCATCCCCTTTTTGTCAGAGGGTTATAAGTCAAAAGCAGATATCAATGTTACTATATGTATCAGGACTTTAGGTCTAGGTTTTTATTTTGGTGGTCTTTCTCCATCCATAACTCACCTGACTCACAGACCACTGATCCTGGCTTCAGTTCCAGCATCATGGTGATGGTGGCGATGTCTGTAGTGTAGAGAATCTGTGTTCTGTGGGGCAGGGATATTGTCCACAGTTCAGGGGTCGGGTGAAGAATGTAGACATAGCCACCTTTACTGCAGGTGATCTTTGACCCATAACGCTGACCGATCAGGTCAGTTGAATGGCGAATGACACCATAGCGGGTTTGTGTTTGGGCCCCTTTCTGTACCTTCACTGGCATCGTGGAGTCCATACTTATGTATATGATGACCACGTCTCCATCCTGAATGAGGTCTGAGTACTCCACAAAACTCATGGTTACACTGAAAAACAAGGAGTCAAATTGAACAAACGGGTCACAGGTCAGTTAAATAACTGTAAACGTTGATTTACGACACAATAAAAGTGGAGCACACTCAACTTGCCATCAGACAGAGTTTATGTCCCTGGCAGTCTCTGTCTGGTCAGTTGTAAGTCAACCATCGGAACTGATGGTCACACACCTTATTTAATCTCTTGCATCATTAACTTTCAACATTTGGCAGCATTTTACTAATTTAGGCTAAATAATCCATTCATTCTTTAGACTACCTTTTCCTTTATGCTATCTCTGAGCTAATTTTGAGATGTACTTAAAAAATATGAGCATTATTTTGCCTATGTTATAGTTGTTTTGAGCCAACATCAATTCTTACCTGGGAAAACGGTAGATTTCCTTGATTTATTTATAGCTACCTAAACAAAAATGAAGAGTTTCTAAGAGAGTTCTTAATCTAATCTTCTTGGTACAACCTGCATTAAAAATCGGATACATTTGCTTTACCCGATGTTTAATTGGTTAATGGTAGAGATTTAAGTGCACAACTTTAGTTATCTATTTGTTGCTAACTTAACGCTGATCTTAAACTTAGAATAACGTTTGGGCTGCGTCCATGAAGATAAATATTAAATATTTTTTTTATTTTTAACATGCTCTTCTGAAATAAATACGATAATCTTCACAAGGAATAACTAACGTCCCAGCAGGAAATATTTAAACACATTTATGTAATTATGGATGTAGTTTTTAACAACTGAAACCAAGTAATTTCAGGGTCCAACTTGCTGAGCAGCTAGCATGCTAAACTTAGCATTGACAATTTGAAAAGCGAGTAAAACCCGTAGCTGTGTTTGGTACCTACCTTCAGCGAGAATTAAACTTTCACTTTGGTCAGAAAAGTTAGTGTGTTTATTCAAACACGCCGTTTTATTCCATGTGTATGTGGTTTAGTATTCGCATGTGAAAGGTTTTGACAGGATTGCAGTCATTCGTTTATTCACACGTGGTGTTGTTTTCACAGGAAGTGAGGTCACGAAAAGCGGATGTTAATAATAAACTGTTTCACGCACAATTTCTAAATCATAGAGGTCACTAATATATATTGTCTACATTGTCGAGGTTAATACAAATTAAATTAATTGCCCGTTTGATTTCGTTATTTTTTTCTAATCCCGCCGCGAGTCACGAGGAGGTCAACATTTAAAATCATTGTATTGCGTTTCAAATTAAAAAATAAATGTCAAAGGGTACGAACGTAATAAGCCAAAACAAACCTATTAAAGTAATTACAATACAAAAAGCCCTATACGGTGAGTGATATTAATGCCCCTTAAAAACACTTTGTGATTAAGCAAACATTTTTTTGAATAGCCATGAAATTTCATCCATAAAACCACGTGTTTACAATTTCACCTTATGCCAAACCATGTTTGAAAAGCCATTTATAAAGAAAATAAAAAACAGTATTTTAAAGAATTGTTGATATAAAATGTATAATATTTAAAATAATAACTGATAATAAAAACAAGAAGGAGAGATGAGGACTTTTTACATTAACGTTTCATTATATCAGTTATCAATATGTCCTTGCTAACATGTGATATTTTAGGTTGATGTCAAAATTCAACAACAGCAATATAAATATTAAACAATAAACAGCCAAACAACAGAGAGTGAGGTTGTGTAGTGTCAGGTTGTATCATACAATGCCAACACTACACTGGAGCACAGGCAGTACGTGTGTAGATATTGCACTAAAGTATTTAAAATATTATTTTAAAGTAAGCTTGTTATGAGGGAGACCATTTTTAGATATATTATACATATATATATTAAATTATTTATATTAAAGCGAAGTGTGAGTGTGTTGGGAGTCTGATGAAGAGCCTCCTGCTGACACGGTCCAATTGAATGAATGGAGCAGAAATAGTGACCAATGGGAGGAGCTGAGCAGCTTTATATAAAGGAACCAGTGGAGGATTGAAGCTTCTGTGACCGGAGGCAGAGCTGATAGGACTTCACTCTTCGTATCGTCGCTGCTGCTGTTCTGTGTGCGCTTGAACGTACTTTTCAGCCGCTTCACAGGAAACATAGGGATCTTTGTCTCCACTCCTGGTAGTAGTGTTAGTCCACAAATCCGCAAACAACAGGTAAGACTGTCTCATTCCTGCGTTTGCGTCATCGCCTCTGATGGCTCCACAATTAATTTAAATAATAACCAGTTAACGCTTGCGTGTGTGCGTGCGCGCTCGCGTGCCCTTTGTCACTCCAAACAATGGAGCTGCTGCAACAAATAACATGCAGAAATGTGTGGAGGAAAAAATGCAGCAGCATGTCTGCAGGACTGTGTCTCCATCTGTAGTTGATGGGGCATCTGTGAATTCTCAATCCAAACCTTTTTTTATGGTGGAAATTATTTCAATACAAATGTAAAATATTGTGAGTAAAGGGTCTACATTCATGATTGAATGATTGGGATTTTAATTGCTGTAGACCGCGAACTATTTGACATCACCTTGTTCTGTAATGTCATTGGTTTTAGCACAGGCGGAGTAATATGTGGTGGTGTGGCAGCGGGCGGTGTTCGGTCCTTTGCTGCTGCTGCTGCTGCAGCATCAGCATCAGCAGCCATTTTGACCGTCTTAGCACAGGTGTCGGAGATGAGTGTATCTAAGGCACGATGATTGGACTAGCGACGATTAATCACCGATTAATCGATGTCTTCATGATGCATACTTTGATCTAGTATTTAAAAAAATCAGTTTAAACTAATCAAATGTGAAAGTTATGTTTTCTTTGTTTTTAAGTGATGCTCAGCCTTTCCTCCGTGAACATTTGTGTTTATTGTTTTTGTCAAAACAACCCATAATTCAGATGAATCAGTAAAGAACATGTTTGATTTACAGCACCAACTGAAGCAAAGCAGACCTGGGGCTTCAGTTAATTCATTATACACAGAAGTTTTGTTTTTTTTAAACATCAAATTGTCAAATGTTCCCTGAATAATAAAAAGCCAACTACTGCAGTGTTGTGCAGAACAGGATGTAGATTGAAAGTGACAAACACCCTGAGGCTCCTCATTACAATATCAAATGTATTTTTTCCATCTCGGCCTTCTTATGTAATCACTCACTGAATCTATAGATTTATATTTTGTAGTAATAGTGATAGAATGTTGAACTAAAAATCTGATTAGGATCTAATGTCAGTAACACTGTGTTCTATGATTAAATTTGTTTAAGTTCAGATCCATTAAGTCTCAGGCCTTGAATCAGTCAGAGGTAGTTGACATTTTTATACCCCAGGGCCAAAGGTCATGGATAATGAAAGGACATGGTCACACCCTGAACACTGACAGCATCATTTTTTATCTTCAGTAACTGGAAAATAAATTAATAAAATCACCTGGATATTAATGATTTAATGGTAAATTTCCCAGGATTATACAACAACATCCTGCGTGGTTTTTGTGATTTATATCCAATAATGCGTACTTTTAAGTTTAGCTCAGTTTTGTCCTTGGTCGTTGTCAGTCTAAGGTTTTATGATGTCTCTGTTGCTAAAACAATTGTCCATGAAGGTTGTCAGATTCTTACTTTTTAAAATCACCATCGTTGATGAAAGTAGACACAAATGTCCTATATAATGAATCATGACCTAAGTTGGACTTGAGGTGTATGATGTCAAATATTCATGTTGATCCTAGTCAAGAGTAGAAAGAAGGACATGTTCACATTTGGATCCTGAAAAGACGGTGTGTGTGTTAGAATGTCTTCGTTCAGCTCCTCAGCTGATCGGAGGTGCGTGTAAAAAGAAGCTGCTTTAAGCTGCTTGGTGCTAAAAATGGAAGCAGGTGTGTCGGAGCTTCCTGACGTCATGACTCTGCCTTTTACAGATTCATGGAGGTCATTTTGTCCCTCAAGGACTGAGGTCCACATAAATCAAGTCTGGGGACCTGGTCCATCTCTGGGGTGTAGTGTTGTCCTCAGGAGGATTGAGGTGTAGATGTGATGCTGTGAGCAGTGCGTGTTTGTGTTTATGGATGTGTTGCTGATTTTTTCACCCCTCTGTCCTTCATCCTCCTCTCCCTCCTCGCCCCCCCACACCCCCACCCATCCTCCATCCTCCATCCTCCCATCTGCTGTGCAGGGAGCAGCCATGCCTTTCGGAAACACGCACAACCAGCTGAAGATGAAGTTCACCTCAGAGCAGGAGTATCCAGACCTGAGCCAACACAACAACCACATGGCCAAGATCCTGACTCCAGAAATGTACGAACAACTGAGGAGCAAACAGACCCCCAGTGGATTCACCCTGGATGATGTCATCCAGACTGGGGTAGATAATCCAGGTAAAAGATTTAAAGTCTGAGTGCAGGAGTGGCAGAAACAATCTGCTCTTTATTTATTAATTAATGTTTTTCATCTATTCTGACCTTGTGGAAGGATAAACCTGCAGCAACAGATTCTGACGCTCCGGCCATTTATGTGACGAGCTCTGCATAGATTTATTACAAACTCTAAACAGCAGCAGCGGTGTTGCGTCATCAGTGCAGCCCCAGCATACGTTGCATAATCTGGGCCAGGGTTGGATAATCCACAGCCTCAGCCCCTGTCTGTGTGGATTATGCTCACAGTGACTTTTCAGGATATTTTAAGTGCTTTAACTCAAGCGATGACTGTATTTATTTATTTATTTATTTTTTTAGTGCTGCCTGAACTGCATGCACACCCTGCTGGCAGCCATGTTTTCTAGCGGTCGTTAGAAACATGGCTGCCACCAAGGACAGAAGGACAAAGAGGATTTTAATCTGCTTAATGCAGAATTACCTGGGGAAAACTCTACACCAGGTTAAAGCTACAGCTCATTAAAAACACGATGGCTGATTTATATTTACATACAATTAGTTTTTCTCTAAAAACCTGTTATCTGCGATGGGTTAACCTATGGGGTGGGGGGGTACAACCAATGTTTTTTCATCTTTTGTTGGCGAAAGTCTGAACTCCACCCTTAAATCTCTAAACTTGACAAACAATATTTAAAATGAAACGACCTATAAATGGGCAGATTCCATCTTCTGTGTCAGTGACCAGTGTTGACTTGTGCCTGCAGGCCACCCCTTCATTATGACCGTGGGCTGCGTGGCTGGGGACGAGGAGACGTACGAAGTCTTCAAGGAGCTGCTGGACCCCGTGATCGAGGATCGTCATGGAGGCTACAAACCTACAGACAAGCACAAGACCGACCTCAACCCGGACAACCTGCAGGTAGCGCCATCTTGTGATGAAATCATCGCTGTAGCTAAGATTAGAAACCCATTAGATATGCTGACATTCTGTCGTCTCTCGTTAGGGGGGTGATGACCTTGACCCTAACTACGTCCTGAGTTCCCGTGTGCGAACAGGACGCAGCGTCCGTGGCTTCTGTCTGCCACCACACTGCAGCCGAGGAGAGAGACGTGCAGTGGAGACTCTGTCCATTGAAGGTAGCCGTCGTACAAGCTGCGTGTTGTTAAGTAAAGATTCGATCCAAACATCCTAGAACAGTTGCTGGTCAACAGTGAAAACTTTTAAAATGATCCAAACAAATTGATTTGAAATAAAATAATTCAGGCACCAACATCAACTGACGCACAGTTCACCTGTCAAAGTACATCATGTGTCGACGTGTTGAAACGCAGTGACTATGGAAGGACAAAGAATGTTAATTGAATCGAAAAAAAAATGTGCAGGTGATGCTGACTCATGTGTGCGGCAGCACCCTCTGGTGACAGACGGTGAAATAACTTAACTGTGCTCCTTATAGGAGTCTAAACAGAAGTCGTTTCAGGAGATTTGACTTTTTGTAGCATCTTTAAATATGTTGTTCTAAATCCCTCTGAGAGAGGTGCCTTTGAGATTATTGATCTTCTTCTCTGTGCAGCTCTGGCTTCTCTGAGTGGAGACCTTAACGGGAAATACTACGCTCTGAAGAACATGACAGACGCTGAGCAGCAGCAGCTCATCGACGACCACTTCCTGTTTGACAAACCGGTGTCTCCTCTGCTGTTGGCCTCTGGAATGGCCCGGGACTGGCCCGACGCCAGGGGGATCTGGTACGTAACTGTACAGAAGTTTACGCTGTGTTTTAAATTCTTCCTGTTCTTCCTTAACTGAGTCCTTTCTCGTTTGTTGGTGAAGGCACAACGACAACAAGACCTTCCTGGTGTGGGTGAATGAGGAGGATCATCTGCGTGTGATCTCCATGCAGAAAGGAGGAAACATGAAGGAGGTCTTCAACCGCTTCTGTACCGGACTCACCAAGGTGGGTCGACAGAAACGTCCAAAGATTTGCTTCTGGGGTTCTTGTCTTTGTCCTTTGCATCAGTTGAGGTTAGAAAGATAATGTCATCGTCATGTTCTGATCAGCGTCTGCTCCTGATCCTCCTTTAGATCGAGAGTCTGTTTAAGGAGCGAGGACACGCCTTCATGTGGAACGAACATCTGGGCTACGTCCTCACCTGTCCATCTAACCTGGGCACCGGCCTGCGCGCTGGTGTGCACGTGAAGCTGCCCAACATGAGCAAACACCCAAAGTTCGAGGAGGTTCTGAAGAGGCTCAGGCTGCAAAAACGTGGAACTGGTACGAAAACGGGGAAAAAGAAAAAAAAAAATCGAAACCATGACTAAAATCTCTTAGCAAAAGATAATCTTGTTTTTTCTTCTCCATCTTCCTCAGGTGGTGTGGACACAGCTGCCGTGGGCGGAGTCTTTGACATCTCCAACGCTGACAGACTGGGCTTCTCAGAGGTGGAGCTGGTGCAGATGGTGGTGGATGGCATCAAGCTGCTCATCGAGATGGAGAAGAGGCTGGAGAGCGGAGAGTCTGTCGACGACCTGATTCCTGAGCAGAAGTAGAAAATGAACCAATCCTGACACAACAACCTCAAATGTCTCCACCTCCTGCACTCCCACCTCCTGCTACTCCCTCACCTCCACCTCCCCGTGATCTCCACTGTCTGAGTGAATGTTTGAGTCCGTATCACGACAACATGTTGGGATTTGTTTATGTATTTAAACTGAACTTCCTGTAACTTCCTGTGAGGATGAATCTGAAATAAAATGAAAAACCTGGTTGAAGTTCATCGTTGTTCTGCCGTCATTTCCCATGGTTCCTCTGCAGATGTTCCACGTTCACTCGGTCTGCTGCTGGATGGAATGATCCTGATGTTCTGAAGACTGAACGGCAGAGAAATCTGAACATGTTTACGACATCTAGACTCCACAAACTCACAGGACGTGCCTTCTTATAACCATCTGTCAATCCATCAAACATCAGACAATGACAGGCTTCAGTCTGGTCTCCCTGTATGTTACAGTAAATACTTGAATATGGGGAAAACAATCATTAGTCCTGAATATATTTTCCAGAACTCAGTCAAAAAGTACTCAGACAGACCTCAGACCGTGCGTCTTCAACAGCATGAACAAATTTGTATCCTAATTTCTCTAACTGTTGAAGCAGGTCTGTGAACTGGTGTCAAAGACATCATCCAGAATGCCAAAAAAAAAAGATAAGTAGGTGCTAACCCTGACCCAGAGTAAAAAAAAAAAAAGATATAAGTAGGTGCTAACCCTGACCCAGAGTCCAGGAGTGTGGAGTAAAGAGGACATTTAAATCACAGAACAAATTATAGAAGCACTTGGTCTAAAGATGAGATCATCTCTTATTCTCCTACAGACTGTTTCCCCGAGAGACTGGAACGGGGACACGTGTCTCTGACAGCTGTCGGTCCAGACCTTCTCTGATTTAACAACTACAGACTTGTAAAGCTCTCATGTCTGACAGTAAGATGGTGTTTCAATCCGTGTGCAGCCGCAAGGATTTTCAGACCATGACCACTTTAATTTGTGGTCATGGCTTTGTAATTTAAAACAAAGATGGTAAAACCTGAGACGGGTTTGCTTCTGTTGACAGACTACAACTTATTAGTAAACATTTTAACAGCTACATATCTTCACAGTAAACTCATTCTTTTGCATTGCATTTATTTTTAGTTTCTTAAAGTCAGACTTTGTACCTGCTGTTGTTGCTGTTAGATACATGAATAAATGTCTGACATTTTAGTTTTTTTTCTTCAAACATCTGTCTATTAATATATTTTTGTTTGCTCTTCATTGACAAAATAATAAATTACTATTACTACTAATTACCTGGGGGCAGATGATTGCTCATTCTGGACTGAGTTTGCTGCAGTACCGCTCCTGTCCACGTGCAGACGCTTCTCGACCTAATCTGAGACACGTTAACTGTGAAGGTTCCGCCAGAACCTGTAAAAGCCTCGGTCTCATCCCCAAACAACATTCGAGCCTGTCTGCGATTCATCCAGACACCTGTGAATGCCTCGCTCTGCTCTCAAGTGCAGGCCCACACTGCCACGAGGTGGCTCCAGGTGGTAACTGCATCAACACAAACTCATGAAGAGAGGTCGCTGGACCAAAACATTCAGACCAACGGTAGGGAGGGTTCTGGAACCCTCTAATCTTCCTTAGGTGGACGTCTGTAGACCAGTGATTGGACCATTGATGGGACCAGAAAAAACCAGGACATTATACAACTGAACCAATGAAGTGTTTCTTTTAATTCTCATTTCTTCATCCAGACATACGAGTTCAGCTGGAGACAAAGAGACGTTCATGTTGACAGACACTTTAATCGAGACACAAGTGACCCTCGACCTTTTGACACGGACTCTGCCGTCGTCTCTACTTTTTCAACCAAATACAAAAGAAAGAAAAAAAAAAAGAGTACTGCAGTGAAGCTGTTTGTAAAGTAAGATACATTATGTACACTGAAAACAAAAAAAGCTACGTCATTTTTTGTCTTTTTCCAGAAGAGAAAAGAAAAAAAAAAACAGATTAAATAAATAAGTCTAGAAATGCTTTTGTTTTTGTCCACATTCACAGCATGACAAAAAAATGGGTTAAAGTGGAGCCTGTGATATTAGTAGGTCATTCAGTGACTATTGCCAAAAGCCTTAAACTATACATTAGAATATTTCATACATTTCTGTTGTTTTAAAAAAGGAGACGTTTGGAAACTGCTACTGTGATGATTGTACTCTTTAAATACTTCTACACATACTGCTTTGTTTCTGTGGTGGGACTTTCTTTGCTCATAGCTTTAACTCGTTGGCAACTTTGGAAGCAATGTTCTTGAAGGCGATGGAGGAGCCGGAGATCCTCTTGAAGCGGACGCCGTTGAGCGACAGACGGGGCAGTTTGCACACCTCCATCTCCCACTGCACCAGGTTCTCGGCACGCGCATCGCCGTGCACGCACAGCAGCAGGAAGTTCTCCTGCTGCTCGAAGTCGCAGTTGTTGGCGTTCAGCACTTTGCGGATCTCCCTCATGATGTCGCAGGGCTCCATGGAGCTGGTGGTCCTCATACTCCAGGTGAAGCGGAGGGAGCGGGGCTTACCGTCCTTAATTTCCCCTTTCTGATCCCCAGGTACATGGCGACTGGAGCAACAGGGAGAGGAGAGAAGAGTTCAGTCGCACACATTTCGCCGTTTCGATTTAAATAAAAGGGAACCTTTTTTTCAACCTGGATGTGTGTTTACAAATGTGGACTTCTGGGTAAAAAAACATTTCTATTTATTCTATTTAGGTATTTCTGCACGGACGTACCTGTGTTTTCTTTTATTTTACAGTTTTTTTGGTTTAGTATTTTGCTGACTCTTTGCAGCTCTTTTACATTCTTACATTCACCCAGTAGTGAAACAACAGCAGCGTTTGTACTCCACTGATCTGAGCAGCAGAGATCGGGTCTTATTTCTGCTAACCATGTAACCAATATGCAACCTCGCAGAATTTTACACTAGTTTTTAAGTAATTTAGCTGTAACTACTGTATATTTTAGCTGTGCAGCTGTTTTTCTATACTTTGAACTGATTTCAACAGTTGATATTTAGCCAACTTTAACTGCAACTCTGGCCTCAGTTTTGAACATTTCTCAACACCTGGTTCACTTAGAGCATCATATTACATTTTCTGACTAATAATTGGTAAGAGTCTGTTGCTAACCTAATTTCTACTGATATTCTCCACTAGCCATTTTCTGACTTTTGAAGGTTTCTAGCAAACTTTTGAAGATTAAACTAACTCACCGTCATGTGCCTTTTGTTACTGCGTCAATTGACAGAACCACTGATCTACTGCTAAAATTGTATATATAATATTTTTAAGTACTTTTTACTCACACACCCACATTCAGAAAAAACAGAGCCAGGTTGAGAAAAAAGTAAAAAGAGTCTGGTGGATTTGGAAAATCAGCGGTTACCGTGGTTGATTCGGTTTCCGCCAGAACATCGTTAAAAAAAAAAAAATTGTTTGACATTCACAGTCTCAGAAGATAAAATTCTTTTTCATTTAAAAAATATTTTCTTTCTGAAACTTTGGTGTTTTTCTTGCTTGTTTGTTGATGTTTATTTTCTGTGACAGTGAATGTAAGATCAGATGAGCTTCAGAAACATCCAAGTTCGATTCAGAACATTTTTAAACACTTTTTACAGGTGGATATGAATAAAAATAATAATTAAGAAACACACATGCCATGCTGTCTCACTGTAAACACTGCCTCATGCAAACTGTGTAGCAACAACACAAGTCAAGGCAAAAACAGTCACAAAGCAAAGCTGGAATTTCACACTGCGTGTTCTTTTTTTTGGATTCATTTGGAAAAGTTCAAACTTGGCAGAGGATGAAGCAAATATTTCTAAACAGTGTAGGAGGAGCAGAAGGAAGGAGGAACAGGGAAGATGAGATACTGCAGAGGAGCAGGACAAACTGAGGCTGGACTTAAAGGGATGTAGACGTGTTGTTCTGAGCCTGGGTCCCAGGTAACCTCACCTTGAGCCCTCAAGTCTCCCGTTTCTCTCAAACTCGGTGGAGACTCTGAGGTGCAGGAGGAGATCAGACATGGAGGAGGAGGAGGAGAGGAGGAAAAGATGACACAAAACAAAAAACTGTGGGTTGTGCTGGACATTAGAGACATTTACATCAGTTATCTGTGGTTCAAACTTTAAGGAAGGTGAGAGAAAGAGGGAGAGAGAGAGGTGGTGTGAGATAAGGAGGAAGTGAGACGACCACGACGACAACCATGAGCCATCACACCAAAAACAAAATAATAGTGTTAAAAATGAGACAAAAACATGGAAAGTTTTTGAACTTCCATTGAGATCAGAGTCATAGAACAGAAAAATCCACAGAGATCCGGAAATGAAGCAGCAGACGACAAGAAAAAAAAAGAAAGAAAGAAGAGAGTCCACAGAGAGCGGGGAGGAAAGAGGAGCAGCTGAAATACATCTGACTGAGCTTCACAGACACTGAGTGTCCTCAGGACAACTGACTGAACCTTGGACATGTCCAACACTGTTCTAGTTCATCAGAGGATGAGCGTGAGGTCACGGAGAGGTGCAGGTGAAAAGGAAGAGAGCTACGATCACCCTGCACCCAAATAAAGAGGAAGTAGAGAAGATGGAGTGAAGACAGGCCCCAAAACACCCCCTGGTGGAGACTGAGAGGAACTGTCTCATGACTGAGGAGTGACTGGCATCATCTCTTTACTCTAGTTCTGCATCTAAGCTAGATCTGATCTGAGAGAAACAAGTGGATCAGTTTGAACTGACACGTGGACGACAAAGAAGGAAAACTCAGGAAGAAATGACGGTGACGACAGGCCAAAAGAAAAAAGGAAAACATGGAACGATGAGTAGAAATGGAGGAGAAGCAGAAGAAGAGGAAGAAGAGTGGAGCAGAGAGGACTTACTAAGACTCTTTCCTCCCTGGGCTGAAGCCATGGCAGGACCTGATTTGGCCGTCTGCCGTTTGGCCGGGTCAATACTGACCCTAAACAGAGAGGAAGAGCAGTGAGGTTAAAGGGCAAAGAGGAAGGTTAGGAGGACAAACAGGAGGATGCACTAAAACAGAGGAGGAGGAGGAGAAAGAAGAGGAAAATCTAAGATGACCTGAAGGAGGAAAATGATTAAAGATCTTTGGCAAAGTCTGGAAATCAGAGGTGATGAAATGAAAACGGACTAAATGAAGGAGAAAATTCAGCCACATGAAAACAGTAACTGATGCTCTGGGAATAAACAGATTTCTGGCCTCAGGAAAGGTTTCTGGTCTCTAATCAAAAGTTCTAGATTTTTACATTTTGAGAAAATAAATTAGAAATAACCAGAAATGTAAAAATAATAATAAGATTTCCTTACAGTACCAAGCGAAGATAAGAATTATTACTTACAAACTTAAGAACAATGTTGCCCAACCAATAAATAACAAACAATAAAAATGTGTTTTCCCCCTTAATTCTGTCAGTTTCAGGCTTCTGTAGGAAAAACTCTTCAACAGACGTCAGAAAAATGATGATTATGATGAAAGTAATGATGAAACTGGTGGACGGTAAAGAAAACAATTAAGTCACCAGAGGGCGCTGCTGCACCGTCACTAAAGCCTCCGATGTTGAACCTAATCATCAAGCACCATTTCAGGAGGAGAGGAATGGGCTTCTTTACTTTGATGAGTTTACACTCTGAAGAGCCAAGAAGGTCCACACACTAAACTGAAGCTGCTGCGACTCTTCACAGATGTTCTCTGAAGCTGCTCCGCTCACATTAAAAATCCTCTGTCAACATCATACAAATCCACTCAATCTTACACTTGACTAAAGAAATTGAAGCACAAAATCTGCAGCACAAACACAAACCTGCCTGTGGAACTAACTTTGTGTGAAAAACTATCCTCACTGCAAATCTGTGTACAAAATATATAACCATACGATAATTAATCAAATCAAGTTTTAATTTTCTATTTCTAAAACATATACATAGAGAGAATCACTGTGGTGAGAGAAGGTGAAGAGGAGAGAGGATAGCTGAACAAAGCATTTCCCAGCATGCACTGCTGATTGATTAGTGACCAGGTTAATGAACGGACTGATGGAGGGATGTCTCCGCTCTGCCAATCATCTTTCAGCCGCTCAGACCAAACCACAGCTGCTCTGAGTTTCTTTACACACACACAGAACATTTAAAAGAACACAATTGACTGGGATGTGGCCCAGGTGGGATCGGTTTGAATTGTTGTCCAGATGAAACTAAAGAGTCTCCAGGCTGAAGCTTCATGGTCACTGCACAGACATAAGAATCCCAGAATTTAGGAGTAAATCTGATCACAGCCTGTGTGAGTAAATGAACTCAGAGACGGGGCGTTGTGTTAGTTCAACGGCAGCAGCCTGTGTGAGTCTGTTTAGTCACTTCAGTGTCGTCGTCGTTGTGGTTAGTGTCGTTTGGCAGTAAGACAGCAGTGAAGGCAGTACAGGAGTCCTACCTTTTGGTAAATCTGAATGACATGTTTCTACAACAGAACCAGACAAAGAAACAGTGAGAATGGTGAAGGAGACAAGAGAAGGAGGAGGACAAGCAGTAGGAGGAGAAGGAGGAGCTTTAATGAGTGAACAAAAATGAGATGTTTGGAATCATCAACAATAAAAGGCCCATAATGTTAACGATACTGATAAGCTATTTCAACTCCTCGTGTCAGGTCAGTCACTGCAGGAGTGACGTCACTGTTCCTGATGTTACAGCTGGGAATAAGCATGAAGACAATGGGAACAACTGTAGGGTGAGCAGTTATCCTGAGATCTGAAGGTTTGGACCAGCTACAGGGACCTCGTCTTTAAACGCCTGCATTAAGTCCTTTAATGGCCATTATCTCTGGTGTTTTATCCCAAACCTGGGAGTTTGACATCAACCTAAAAATCTTTAATGTTGGAAAGACTTCAAGGACAAAAGGTCAAACTGTGTTTAATTCAGGTCTGAGGGAGAATATAGTGATGAAGTGTCCAGTCTCCAGGATCAGACATATTGCGGAGAGCAGGGAAGTTTCCAGAACATGTTAATAATCATCTAACCTCTAGAGGTCACCTCTCTGACTGGAGGAGTCCATACAGGTTGAACTGAAGTCTCAAACTGTTTTATTTCAGTCCTGACCACAAACTCTTCACTAATAACCCCAGAAAGTGACCCTGCGGCGCCCCCTGTCTTACCTGCGGGTGAGTTTAGAGGTGAGTTTGGAGAAGAGGTTGCTGGTTCCACGGCTGCGGGTCTGAGAGAGAGGTGTGGCATCATGGGAGAGGGTGGGTGAGGCCGGGGGGCCGTTGTAAGTGGCAGTGCGTCGGTCTCTCAGCTGCCCGCCGTGGAAGGTGCTGCGACTGCCGGTTCCTCTGGGGAAGCGCAGTCGGTCGGGCGTGGTGGCGTTGGCCACGCTGTGAGTGGACGCCACTGGGTTCCTCTGACCAGCAGGAGAGACGGCAATGCTACTGAGGTGGAAAAGAGAGGACAGGAGAACAGGACAAAGTCAGGATGAAAAGTTCCTCGCGGTTTGACAGAGTCAAACTGCAGCTCTCACTTTTACTGACTGTTCAACCTGAGAGTTTTCTAGGATCTATGAATAAAAAACCTTCAACTCTTGTTTCTAATCTTTAAAATAAATCCATGTCTGAAGTCTCCAGGACTTGGAGTTAAAAATCAGAATGAACATCCATGGTAAATGTCAAGACGGCAGGAAATTCAAATAATATATTTACAACCGATTACAGCTGATACAGTAAAAACAACCAAACATTCTGGTTATTATTGTGTTTTCACACATTTTCTCTGCGACTGAAGTCTTTTTGAAAAACATCATTACGGTATGATTTAGTAGGGCACGTGAAGGTGACCTAGATCTAACTTTAAAAAAAAAGGCTCATTTGTTCTGTCTTCAGCTTGAAGGTAGTCCACGACAATGGTTCCAAAAAGTTCCAATTAAGAAACATTTTTGAGTTCACAAACAAAGATACATTTTAAAAACTGTTGTTTATTTCCCACCATGAACACGACACTGGGTTGGATAACAGTCAGTGATCTGTTAAAGGACTGTGAAGGTTGAGCAGGAGGAGTCAGTGAAAATCAAGCCATGTGTTTACAGATGATCAGGTGAAAGGTCCAGACGGAGCAGGTCAGGGTCACAGAAACAGAAGGCAGGTCAGGAGTAGAGCTGTGGTTGTTATTTGACCACCAGCTGACGTTTATCATGTAAACAGATGGATGAAAGCATGGAAAAATATTATCACACACACACTGAGTTCATCTTGTCAGTGTGTGGATCTATATTTTTCAGTAGGCAACCAGTGGGTCAGGTGCAGATAAAGTGAGAACTCGTGTTTTCATCAAGAAGGTCACTGAATATTCAACTTATTTTATCTATGCAGTTTGTTTCATATGGTTATCTCTTTAGCAAAATCTAGCCTCAAAGGCCAATGTCTTTATCCCTTAGTAAGACATTTCAGTTTTTGAAATGTTCCAATAAAGAGTAGCGTGAGCTAAAGGGTTAGCCAACTGCAAATGTTTTTTTAAAAGGCAACTTGTGTAAAAATGATTTAAGTTTTCGATTTATCTGCTTTAAACCAATGAAAATTTACGGGTAAAAATCCAGAGGAGAAGCACTTCAGTTTCCACATCACTGCTGGTTTAGTTGGTACAGTACAGCGAGTGAAGCCTGATGCTGGATGTGAGGGTTAACCAGGGGCCACACAGGGGCCGGTCGGGGGCCGGTGAGGAGCTCAGACATAAGGAGACAGACAGGGACATGGGGTTTGAAGCCCTGCCGTCTTACTTGGGGGTGTCGTAGTCCAGAGCGTAGTAGGAGTGAGGCAGAGCGGCCCGGCCCTGGAAAGAGGACAGGGGGCCGACGGTTTGGTGCCTGAGTCTGATAGAACTGGACGAGGCGCCCAACATGGCCGCCGTAAAGGCCGAGGAGGGACTAGTGGCATGAGCCATCTCTGTCATGCTGCTCAGCCAGAAACGGAAATAAAAATAAAAACATCGGCCCCGAAACCAAAGCACACACACACAGGTAGAAGTCAGAGATGAGAAAAAGGATATAAATGTAATAAATGTATAAAAGAAGTGAAATAGAACGCCCTGTGTTTAAGGGAGACATGCAGGAAGGATTTTATGACAGAACTGTACACAGAAAAAAAATTATTTCATGTAAAGAGAAGCCAAAGTCACAGGAGCTGTTTGTGTTTTCCTGTACTTCATCCCCCTCACCTGTTCTCTTTCCCGTTGGGAATGACCGAAAGTCGATCCGTGTTGTTCCTGTCGCTGCAGACGTACGTGTTTCTTCTGGTCATTCCTGCCGACGCAGTGTTGTTCTGTGATAAACGAAAGAGAAAGACCAAATTAATAAAAACATTACTGGTAAAACACTATTAAAGAAGAAGTCACTACTCATGGAATAACTATCCCAATATAAAGTATTAAAAAACTGAATTAAAAATATATAAAAAAAAGGGCCAGAAATGGATTCAAATGAACCAAAGGAGAACTTGCATTAAGCAATAGTTTGTTGTGCAGGTTTACATGCAACACACTGTATTTGTAACTGTTGACTGTGTGACACTTACAGCCGGGGCAGTGGTGGCACCTTTCCTACGGTCGGGGATGTCAGCCTTGTTGGGGTTATTGGCGTTGCCCAGGATGGGGCTGGAGGGCGGAGCTCCACGGCTTCCCGGGGTGGTGGGTTTACGCAGCTGGACACCACTTTCTTCTTTGGTGCCATTTTCCGCTGTGGTCGTCTGACTCCGCTTTGGATGAGCCGCTCCTGGAGGATTCTGACCAACTACAGAAGGAAAAAAAACAACCAAGATGAGACAAGTCACAGCAGAGGACAGTAACAACAGTCACAGTGTTGGAATGCATCTTTCTCTCTATCCATCTGAAGGAAAGACAGCATTGTACCATAAGACATATATGACTGAATCTCCCTTTCGTTATTTGAACTCTCTCTTTTTCCTCCGTCTACACCACAAATCATAATAAAAAAAATCTTGTCCATTCTGGTGTGTTTTAGTTGGGGACAATTTATAAACACTGGTTAAAAACATCTTGTAAATAAGTAAATATTAGCAGCAGCAGCAGCAAAGGTTGCAGCTCCTCTTATTGTGCTTGGTTTGATTACACTGCCTCCATCAGTCTAACAAAGACAAAGTCTGCAGTTCTAAACTAACTTTATTAAACAACGAGTTTCTGCTGAAGTCTTCTTTGTTAATCTAACTAAACAGATAACTGTGTTTGTGAGAATGTCGGTGAGACAGAGAGACAGAGATAGAAGGGAAGATCGTGTGTTGGCCTCCGACCTTGTTCGCTGTAACGCCTCTGTTTTTGGTTGGACGAGGCGCTCCTCTGAACTTTGAGGTGTGACGGTGACTGGCCGTTGAGTTCACTGTTTGGTCTGGGTTTGGTCAGAGAGAGGTTACTGCTAGAGGCCGACTCACTGGGGTCCATCTGGAGGACACAGAGAAACACCCCATGAAAATTAAAGAACATTCCACACATTCACCAACAGAGTGTGACAACTCTGTGTTTTTCATCCTTGGGGTCGTGACCCCACGTGGAATCATCTGGAATTCAAATGGGGTCTTCTGAAATGTGTAAAAAAATGTATTACTTTTGGAATTTTGATTAAAAACACCCCACCCAATTTATAATAAACTATATTCTTCCACTTTCATTAATATAAATTCATAGTTAAAATAATATATATATATGTGATGTCAAAATGGAGTGATAAGCCAAAAAAACCCAAACTTTTCTTTAACCCAACAGCTTCACTTATTGTTGGCTTGTCTGATACTACAATCTGATCAGATGTTCACACTGTACCTCAGAAGCCTTTCTGCCCAGCAGCAGGTAGGTGGCGGTGATCTCGTCGTACTTCATCTTAGCCAGAGATTCCTGGATCTTATCCAGGTTGTAGCCCATTCCCACCATCACATCTGCAGAAACACAGAACAGGTTTGTTCCTGCTAATTCATGCAAAACAAAGGCATGCTGCTAATGCCATTTAGAACACACTGAAAAGGTGAGCACCAACATAGCAGGGCCAGCAAATTCTAAAACTTTAATTTATTTTCAGGTTTGTAACAATGAGCAAAACGGATAAAAGGAAAATCTCCACTGTGAGTTTTTGAACAGGTCAATAATCAGGGCAGGTCTTTAAATGTCTGTTCCAAATTGATCCGACTGTAGTTTTTGGACAGAGTCCTCCCTGATAATCAGCATGAACTGCTCTCATCAATCAGAAGAACAAAGCTGGTGATTGGAGCACACAAAGACACACATGCATGTACACAGTCACGTACACGTGAGCGTCTACTCTCAGACCTCCTCCAGCTCAAATTGGTAACATCATTGCAGACGCAGAAGCAGAGCTGCGAATCCCGCTGCAACTGCAGCCCTTAAACATTGATCTCTGTGCACGTGACTGCCTTTAAACATTGATCTCTGTGCACGTGACTTTCTGTGTGATGCCCCCGTGCACTCATTAATGTTTCAAAACATTCTTCTATCAGAAACACACGAGTGAACAGTTAGAGCCTGTGGCCTGGTGGTCACAGCAGTGGTCTCCAAAGCAGGAGAGTCACAATTCTGTGCTTTGTTCCACAAAGGCTAAAATGTTTTCATCATCAATGAGAACAGCAGTTTTGCAGGAATTTGTGTTTAGAGGACGTTCACTGAAGAGTTAAAGATATCACTGTGAATGCACTACTACAGCTGCTCTGCCAATCCAGTCACCTTTAATATCATTCATTCTCTCTCAATAACAAAGAGAGAGAATCTCAGCATCTGCAACTCTGACAGGAGCACACGGTGTTGGGAGCACAGGAGGAGGAGGCTCAGCTGGAGGTGAATCTGATTGTTCTACTATAAATGAAAACCTTGTAAACAAAAACCACCTTTTGCCCTCAGCTGCACCTGCTAGCTCCAATTAAACCTGCAGATCATCCTCACCCAATCTGTTTTTCTCACCCACTACGTTAAGAACTGTTTTACAGTTGAATTTTTTAAAACCACTTCTTGTCAGAAGTTTACACTGGAGCAGCACTGTCATTATTTCCACTGCACTGGTGTATTTCTCCAGCAGTGTAGAATCATTTCCAGTGACTGACGAGACTAGTTTATACAAACCCAGGGAGAAAGTTCTGATTCCCTAAGTCTGCCGTACCGGGAGTCTGATTAAAGAGCCACGCACAAACGTCAGAGTGTCGTCAGCTGAGGAGCAGGAGCAGAGAGGAGCGGAGCCTCTGTAACCAGGCAGACTCTGTGAGAGCGTAGCTGCTCATCCATCTCTGCCGTCAGTGCTGCACCACCCTCCACCCTAACACCAACCTCCTGCTCTGCAGCACTTCTCCATCGGGGGTTTATGGAGCCGTGCAACTAAACACACATGGTTCAAGACACTCCCCTGACAGCCTTAAGACAGTTACAATTAAAACCATTAGAGCCCTTCAAATACTCAATAAATCTAATCAATACTTTAGTGAGTCGTTTAATTTAAAATGACCGAGAAAACTAAAATATCAGGAGCTTGGATCTTAGTCATTTTAATTGAACTCAAACGCTAGAGAAGATAAAGAAATTCCTTTTTTAGCCATTTGTCAGAAATGACAAGATGCTTTACACCACAATGCTGAAATTCAATCACTCGACGAATTCTGTTGTGAATCCTTACATGTCGTCCCTTATGTAATGTTGGTGATGAATTATTCAACATTCAGGGAAATCCCTCTAATGTAGTCTCTCTCTGCACTTGCACTTGTACGACACTGAACATCCACAGCCAACCACAGCTGCTGCTGCTGCTCTTATGTAAGATCTCTGCTCTTCCTCCACCTCCTCCTCATGCTCCTCTTTCTCCTCCTCTTGTTTCCATCTTCCACCCTGAGCTCAGAGGGAGGCTTCACCCGGGGCTCATGTTTATTTCGTCTTCATTACAGCGTTTCATCTTTCCCTTCAAAAGCTCTGCAGAGCTGATATAATGAGAGCTTCAGCTGCCCGACGCACCGTCAAAGGAAAAATTAAAGAGGCCATTGATTTTTTTTTTCCTAAGAGTAAAGATTAATAAATAAAGTGAGAGACTGCTGTTTATGATGCGTGTGCACTTTTCTGACTGCGGGACAGCACGGGCCTGAGCGCTGTGAGAAGAACCCAGTGAGAAATCCTACAGCAATGAAAACATAAAAATAACTGCCGTGATGTCGTGTTTGGTTATCTCCTGAACAGAACTGACCTATTCTCTTCTGGTCTGTGATGTCCAGCTCTGGTTCAGTGTACGGCTTCAGCTCCTCCTCATCAAACCCAGTATTGATCCATCGATCCTTCATGATTTGCTGCAAAATGTTTTAAAAATAACAAATAAATAATTGACTAATAATAATCAGTTATATAATTACACATTGAAGTTCTTTTTGAAATGTATGACATGTGAAGAAACCACTAAAGAAAATCAACCAATAACAAAATAGTCGTATACTTTATCTAGAGAATGTTTGAAAAAAAAGCCTTGAGGAGAAAGACTTCTTAACAGAGCAAAGTCTGTGTACGATATGTTTTTAATTTGACATTTTGTCAGATGTTTATAAATTTCAAATTTCAATTAAGTTTTATTTTATGTACGTTTGTGACCATGCTATACATATCCTTACACCATAGCAGTGGTTCCCAACCCTTTTTTTTTTTGCCTGTGACCCCATTTCAAGTCTCCGAAATTCAGGAGACCCCAGAGACATTTTTTTTCTGGAATTAGTTTTTGGTTGTGTTTTTTATGCCCCATGCAGTGTCACCTGGAATTCAAATGGGGTCACCAGAAACACCCTGTGCTATAGTCATCATGTATGAATTTTTTCATTCAGGACAACTGACCTACATAAAATAACAATGAGGAACAATGAGGTATCGAGCCCCTCAAGTAACAATCATTCTGATACAAAGAGACCAAAAGGAAATGATTGACCATTTATGACTGGGTCTGTGAATGAAAAGAGGAATGAACACAGGATACTGTGAGAGCCGGAGGAGAAGATGCGGTGGGAGGTTACAGCAACCACAGGACAGGTAGGAGGTAAGATGTTGTAGTTGAAGGTGGAGGATGGATGGTGTTCTTCAACAGTGCAGACGTGCTGGGGTGGTGGTGGTGAAAGAATGGAGATCTAAAAAAAAATTATATTTACATTTTCTGCGTCCTCCCTCACCTCGAGAGTGCCTCTCTTGGACGGGTTGAGCACAAGGAAGCGCTTGAGGAGGTTTCTGTGTGATGCCCCCGTGCACTCATTAATGTTTCAAAACATTCTTCTATCAGAAACACACGAGTGAACAGTTAGAGCCTGTGGCCTGGTGGTCACAGCAGTGGTCTCCAAAGCAGGAGAGTCACAATTCTGTGCTTTGTTCCACAAAGGCTAAAATGTTTTCATCATCAATGAGAACAGCAGTTTTGCAGGAATTTGTGTTTAGAGGACGTTCACTGAAGAGTTAAAGATATCACTGTGAATGCACTACTACAGCTGCTCTGCCAATCCAGTCACCTTTAATATCATTCATTCTCTCTCAATAACAAAGAGAGAGAATCTCAGCATCTGCAACTCTGACAGGAGCACACGGTGTTGGGAGCACAGGAGGAGGAGGCTCAGCTGGAGGTGAATCTGATTGTTCTACTATAAATGAAAACCTTGTAAACAAAAACCACCTTTTGCCCTCAGCTGCACCTGCTAGCTCCAATTAAACCTGCAGATCATCCTCACCCAATCTGTTTTTCTCACCCACTACGTTAAGAACTGTTTTACAGTTGAATTTTTTAAAACCACTTCTTGTCAGAAGTTTACACTGGAGCAGCACTGTCATTATTTCCACTGCACTGGTGTATTTCTCCAGCAGTGTAGAATCATTTCCAGTGACTGACGAGACTAGTTTATACAAACCCAGGGAGAAAGTTCTGATTCCCTAAGTCTGCCGTACCGGGAGTCTGATTAAAGAGCCACGCACAAACGTCAGAGTGTCGTCAGCTGAGGAGCAGGAGCAGAGAGGAGCGGAGCCTCTGTAACCAGGCAGACTCTGTGAGAGCGTAGCTGCTCATCCATCTCTGCCGTCAGTGCTGCACCACCCTCCACCCTAACACCAACCTCCTGCTCTGCAGCACTTCTCCATCGGGGGTTTATGGAGCCGTGCAACTAAACACACATGGTTCAAGACACTCCCCTGACAGCCTTAAGACAGTTACAATTAAAACCATTAGAGCCCTTCAAATACTCAATAAATCTAATCAATACTTTAGTGAGTCGTTTAATTTAAAATGACCGAGAAAACTAAAATATCAGGAGCTTGGATCTTAGTCATTTTAATTGAACTCAAACGCTAGAGAAGATAAAGAAATTCCTTTTTTAGCCATTTGTCAGAAATGACAAGATGCTTTACACCACAATGCTGAAATTCAATCACTCGACGAATTCTGTTGTGAATCCTTACATGTCGTCCCTTATGTAATGTTGGTGATGAATTATTCAACATTCAGGGAAATCCCTCTAATGTAGTCTCTCTCTGCACTTGCACTTGTACGACACTGAACATCCACAGCCAACCACAGCTGCTGCTGCTGCTCTTATGTAAGATCTCTGCTCTTCCTCCACCTCCTCCTCATGCTCCTCTTTCTCCTCCTCTTGTTTCCATCTTCCACCCTGAGCTCAGAGGGAGGCTTCACCCGGGGCTCATGTTTATTTCTTCTTCATTACAGCGTTTCATCTTTCCCTTCAAAAGCTCTGCAGAGCTGATATAACGAGAGCTTCAGCTGCCCGACGCACCGTCAAAGGAAAAATTAAAGAGGCCATTGATTTTTTTTTTCCTAAGAGTAAAGATTAATAAATAAAGTGAGAGACTGCTGTTTATGATGCGTGTGCACTTTTCTGACTGCGGGACAGCACGGGCCTGAGCGCTGTGAGAAGAACCCAGTGAGAAATCCTACAGCAATGAAAACATAAAAATAACTGCCGTGATGTCGTGTTTGGTTATCTCCTGAACAGAACTGACCTATTCTCTTCTGGTCTGTGATGTCCAGCTCTGGTTCAGTGTACGGCTTCAGCTCCTCCTCATCAAACCCAGTATTGATCCATCGATCCTTCATGATTTGCTGCAAAATGTTTTAAAAATAACAAATAAATAATTGACTAATAATAATCAGTTATATAATTACACATTGAAGTTCTTTTTGAAATGTATGACATGTGAAGAAACCACTAAAGAAAATCAACCAATAACAAAATAGTCGTATACTTTATCTAGAGAATGTTTGAAAAAAAAGCCTTGAGGAGAAAGACTTCTTAACAGAGCATTAGAGAATGTTTGAAAAAAAAGCCTTAATTGAGGAGAAAGACTTCTTAACAGAGCAAAGTCTGTGTGTACGATATGTTTTTAATTTGACATTTTGTCAGATGTTTATAAATTTCAAATTTCAATTAAGTTTTATTTTATGTACGTTTGTGACCATGCTATACATATCCTTACACCATAGCAGTGGTTCCCAACCCTTTTTTTTTTTGCCTGTGACCCCATTTCTTGTCTCCGAAATTCAGGAGACCCCAGAGACATTTTTTTTCTGGAATTAGTTTTTGGTTGTGTTTTTTATGCCCCATGCAGTGTCACCTGGAATTCAAATGGGGTCACCAGAAACACCCTGTGCTATAGTCATCATGTATGAATTTTTTCATTCAGGACAACTGACCTACATAAAATAACAATGAGGAACAATGAGGTATCGAGCCCCTCAAGTAACAATCATTCTGATACAAAGAGACCAAAAGGAAATGATTGACCATTTATGACTGGGTCTGTGAATGAAAAGAGGAATGAACACAGGATACTGTGAGAGCCGGAGGAGAAGATGCGGTGGGAGGTTACAGCAACCACAGGACAGGTAGGAGGTAAGATGTTGTAGTTGAAGGTGGAGGATGGATGGTGTTCTTCAACAGTGCAGACGTGCTGGGGTGGTGGTGGTGAAAGAATGGAGATCTAAAAAAAAATTATATTTACATTTTCTGCGTCCTCCCTCACCTCGAGAGTGCCTCTCTTGGACGGGTTGAGCACAAGGAAGCGCTTGAGGAGGTTCTCGCAGTCGGTGGACATGTAGAAGGGGATGCGATATTTTCCTCTGAGAACACGTTCTCGCAGCTCCTGCAGGAAGGAGAAGCAGGAGGTCAGAGAGAGAAGTAAAGAAATATATAGAAATATTCAGTTGTGAATACTTTTAATATAATCACCTAAACTATACTCTAAGTTCAGATCTAAACAAAGCTCTCTTTCAAATTTACATACACTGCAGCACAAAACTAAGCGCTGACAGGATCATAATGATGATGTCAGGAATGTCATTATTTTCACACCTTGAGGTTCTGTCCATCGAAGGGCAGTGACCCGCTGACCAGGGTGTAGAGAATGACTCCCAGACTCCAGACGTCCACCTCTGGCCCGTCATACTTCTTCCCCTGGAACAGCTCCGGTGCTGCGTACGGAGGAGAACCGCAGAACGTGTCCAGCTTGTTGCCCAGGGTGAACTCATTACTGAAGCCAAAGTCGGCAATTTTGATGTTCATGTCTGCATCCAGGAGCAGGTTCTCGGCCTGAGGGTAACCAGACCAACATCAGTAAGGAGGTGAGATGATTTTCACTGTCAGGCTGTTGCTTCAGGAAATAAATAGTGAAATAGTTTTTTTTCTTCTTTTTTTTAAGTTAAAGGTTTTTACTAGGGTTGGTAATTAAATATAAAACCAGCAGGGATTAGAGGTGATTTCAATTAAAATATTGAATGTGTTAATGATTGAAGCTTGTTGAGATGCCAGAAGATAAAAATTCCCATGAGCACACAATTAATTAAATGTGAAGAAAATTAAATTAATCCCAGCAGATGACATTGACTGATAAACAGAATTAATCTACTCTGTGTGTTTGAGTCAGTCAGTTTGAAAATATCTCATTAACACGGCCTGTGTGTTTTTTTTTTTAAAACTTGGTCTCAGATAAAATCAGTGACATACAACATTTATTCACAGCTAATATAAAGATTTTATCTACAGACAGAACTAGGCCACAGTCGTGGCAGAAGAACTGAATTATTCCTTCATGTATTTGTGTAATATAGAAGTGGGATACAGTAATACAGATATTCCCTGTACTTTGGTGCAGGACACTATTAAATCTGTAAAAGAATACAGATGTTAGATCACCTAACAAGTCACACAGCTGTAAATCCAAATACATTTTCTACAGTCACTCTTGCACCAACATAAACTGCTCACTCTTGCACCAAGAATATCAGAGAGAGTCTGAGTTTGCATTAAATCACTAACAGTAAACCAACACCTTTTAAAATTCAAACCTATTGTTTTAGTGTAAAACAATGAACACTGTTTTTTTACGTTCATTTTTATCAATGAGCCCTGGTATGGTGATGGACATACAGTATTTCAGTTTCCTGTTGGAAAAGACTGTTTACCAAAAAGATAATTCATATATTTTTCAGAGGTCGAGAAATGAGATCACACAGACTTAATCAGCTGAGTGGCTGCAAGAACCACATTTCCCACAGTTTGAAAGTTCAAGCTGTTAAAGTGTTGAATTGACACTCATGTTAAAAAGTGTGCTTGGGGTAGGAGAGGAAGAGAGGGAGGAGCTCCACATCCTCCTCTTCATACGCAGTGTTGGAAACACAAGTGAGTCCCACAGATGCAGTGATAAAAATACTGAAGCGTTAATATTTGTATGCGCTCCACAGTGATGTTCTCTGTGCAGCAGCAGCAGCAGCAGCAGCAGCAGCAGCACAGAGGACGTCAGTGTGGGGAGGGAGGAGCCCGAGCTTCACGTACGACTGCGACTCCAGCTGCTGAGCATGAGAACAGTTACCGTTGGTGTGCACGTGTATGTGTGTATGTGATTATACTCCCCGCTGACTAAACTGTAATTTAGGAGGAAGTGAGGAGACAAGCAGCGGAGCCTCATTAGCCGCATCTGCAGAGTTTTCTTTTATTCTCCAAATCATCTGCTGTTAAGCAGTTGGTGGGGACACTGGTGTTGGGTTTAGATGAGGATCGTGGAGAAGTGTTACAAACTGTTGTCCAAGCTGTGACCTCTGTGTCCAGGTTCACTTTTAATGCTGCCAATTGGCTTTAGAAATACTTTTGAATCTGAGGAAGGTCATTTGTCGCTAGCTTTTTATAACCTATTAAATCAAATATCTGGCTAACCTTTAGTTATCTTTGGGAGTTTGGAGATAACTTTTTTGTCCTGTAACTAACTTTGAGTTACTTTGTCCTTCAGCTGACCAAGTAATGCTTTCATCATGTGGCTAACTTTTAGTGATGCGTTCAGCTATTCTGGGGATAATGTTCGAACATCTTCTAAAGCCAGAGTTGCAGAGGTGAAGATTGTTCTATTGTTAACAAGAAACCAAGGACAAGTGATGTTTGATCACATCACTTACAGCAGCACAGCTGAAGACTACATCAGAGCTCAGACTCTTGTGGTGTCTTTCTCTGCAGCTGATGATAACAGGTTGGATCGGCGTGACGTTGCTAAACTCACCTTCAGATCTCTGTGAACAATGTGCTTCTGGTGACAGTACTGCACTGCTGATACGATCTGCGGGAGGAAGAAGACAACAGAGGTGAGAGAGATTTTCACTCAGAGAAATGAAAGGATGTGGCCGAAAAAGGAAGGAGGAGAAAAAAGAAGAGATGTGGTCGACAGTGACAGTTAAAAGACGTTAAACCAAACACAGGTGGAGCTGAAGATAGCACTGGAAAAAACTTCTCAAAATGGCTGCTAAGTTAAAATGATGGTAAAAATAAAGACAAACAGCAGCCCTGCTCAGTCTCAACGTGTCTTTTCTGTAACTTTGGACCACTTGTCCATGTTCAAGCTGAGCCAACTAGCCTGAGTTTGGACATCTCATGTACAGGCAGCTGTCTGTTGTCTGAGGACATAAGACGGGGGGTAGTGTCGGAGACAAAGCCCAGAGCAGAGGTGTGAAAACAGAACACTGCAGGGGAGAAAAGCTGGGTACCTGTCTAAATTTAGCTCTGGCCTCTTTTTCCTTCATTCTTCCATGAGCAACCAGGTAGTCAAACACCTCCCCTGTAAAAAGAAGAACAAAAGGAAAAACAGACAGCAGGAGTTAACAAACGAAGAGTACAACAGTTTTACACAGTTAAAAATAAATGGGTTGATTCACTCTTAAATGCAGCAGAATGGTTTTGGCCCAGACGCAGTCACCGCAGCTGCCGCAGCAGCAGCAGCAGCGGTGCTTCCTTCACACTGAACATAAGAGCTGCAGCGGCTCTACTTTCATGCTGCACACTTTTAGCCAAAACGTGACCACACTGGCTCACGTGCTAACTGCACACCGGGAGTGAACCAGTGTCTACATCAGGGTCAGGAGACAAAATTAAACACACAATACAACAAATTAGTGCTTCCTCTCCTCCCACACACACACTCCCACTCTCTGAGGGCTGACCTGCAGAGGCAGCACAAGTGAGCATTTCTATATTTTACAGCTCCAGAAGAGCAACAATCCATGGCTGAGCTGTGACTCAGCTGCTAAAGACAGAATGTGCCTGTAAACGCAGCTCATCAAAGCTGAACCGAGAGTGACTGTAGAACACGGGGATTGGAGCAGTGATCAGACCCAGTAGGGATGCAGACACTGTGAAGGTGTCAAGTGATTTTTATACTTTCTGTCTTACCTCCGCTGGCGTACTCCATTACCAGGTACAGTGTCCTCTCTGTCTCTATGACTTCAAAAAGCTTCACTGCAAGAGGAGACAGAGAGACAGACAGTGAGAACACTTTAGAGATTCAAAAAATGCTTAAAATATCTGCGACTGTTGCAGGACACACACTATAGTTTGAAATGAATGGTTGATAATAATATCATAAAATAATAAATAAATAAAAAGAGACTGAAGAAGGGGAGAAAAAGCTGGGTTCACTGCAGCAACAAGTACCAGGAGCTTTGGCTTTATCTTGTTACATGAACTGGAACTGTTCCTATATTTTGGTTCCAAAACAAGTAGACACTGCAGCCCCAAACCACAGCTACTTGCAATATTAAAATAAATAAAAATATGGAAGCATTTTTTTTAAATGTTTATAAAAAATATATAATGTTGGGGCACTGTTGTATTTGAATGGTCAAACTGATCAACTTACTACTGCAGTTATGAGAGATTTATCAACATAAAATATTTCTTAACTTAATAATCATAGAGTGGAGGAAGGTAATGATGAGTGAACTCACCTATGTTTGGATGATTCAGAATCTTCATTATTCTAACTTCTCTGAAGAGCTGATAGAAAAGAAAGAAACACTGTATTAATAGTCAGATTACACACACCGAACATCAGTCATTTATATTTGTATTGTCATAATGGACAACATAATATTACAAACACATTATGTGCTAAAACAATGACCCTGACCTCTGGGAAAAAAAAAATCCATCACCATCATCAGGTCTACTGTGGGCTGGCTACACCTGTACTAGGACAGAATGTAGCTAACGTTAGCTCTGGTTTCTGTTCTCACATCAACTTGTGTTATACACTGCATGTGACTGTGTGACACTGTATTCTTGAAGTACTGCACTGCTAAGAAACAATTTGTTGACATCCAACCTATGCTTGTTTCCAAGCTGATCTCAAAAAGTTAAAACTTTCAAAAACTTTCCACCCAAAAAAACTAAGATATGTGGTCTCTTCGATTACCTCATCTGTAATTAATTAATGCATCCAAACAAAATGTTAGAGGCTAAGCTATAGGAAAACAAACATTTTAGTTACATTTGTGACCTGATTAAAGGTTTTCCCAAAGCAATGTTTTTAGTACATCAGTTGACCACCAACCACAGAGAGAAGTCAGGAATAAAGTGCAGCAGTCTCAGCATCACCTTTCCATCCCAGAATAGCAACAACAACATCAAAAACAATAATACCATACCACCATCATCATGATCACAACAAGCAGATCAGCTGATCTCTAACAGTCCATAAGGCTTTTCACTGTGGTGCTGATGGAGACATAAAAAGACGAGCGAACAGTGTATTATTGATCTGCCACGAACAACACCTTCCTATGTCTGTGTGTTTCTATGAAAATATGACCCAGCATCAATAGCTGATGAGAGGAGAGTCCACTCAGTGCTGTTTAACTAAGTGAAAGGGGGGGTCCACTCAGTGCTGTTTAACTGAGTGACCAACACATCTTCAGACTGCAGCCAAAAAAACAGGTCACCAGGGGTATGAAAAATCATACTTTACCATGCTAAACGCATGGTTTGTTGTTAATTAGAAAACACCAAATAAAGAAATCCAATTAGTCCACTTGGAGTACCTGCCGGTATTGATATCAATACGATACCATCTTTTCTCCCCCAGCATGCCACGGACTGTCGTTGCATGTTGCACAAAGTTAAGGTATCGGATCAGATGGGCTCTGGTTGTTTTTCTTGAAGGTTCAATCCACAGACAGATGCCGATCCTCAGTATCGGATCGAGCCACCCTCGTCAAAGATACCTTGACTTTGGCTCAGGCATAACCTGTCCAGTTCATAAAATGATCTAACCATTAGTCAAGCACAACTTGACCTAATTTTAAAATTGCCCTGTTTTGCAAACACAAAAAAGGGAAGTCAGGTCTGTGCTTCAATATTGCTCATGGAAACAACAACGCAACAACACACATGTATGAGCTTTACATTCAACCTGTTTGCATTCACTCACAATGCAGAGGGAAGAAAGAGGACGTCTCCAGGATAACGCAAGCCCTTCCTTCACCTTGGATTTGTTCCTCATTTTCAAAAGACTAAAACTTGGTTGTTCATTTCATTTTAAGTGAGGATAAAGTAAACACTTGTATGAATGAAAAATGTAAAAAAAACTGTAGGGGGTTCATGGATTACAGCGCTCCGTCATCTTGTTAGGAAAACTGATTGTTTTTTTTTCCTCACTTGTTGGTTTGACAGTTTTAAATCTGTTCTCTCTGCAGAGCGCATTAAAGATGATGTGGGGAGAGTAGAAAACTAGACTGTGATGTTAGATTCTGTGAAACCACCACGTGTCCCTCCTGCTGCTGCAGACCCAGCAGATTCTACTGAGCCATCAGGCCGCTCCGACAGAACCTCCCGCCTCAGTGTTTGTCTGAGAGGCAAACAGATGGAGACAAACAGCGGGATATGTTTTTATATTCAGTGTGACAATGCACTTCACACACACATACACACACACAGTCTGGTTTGCCTAATCTGTGAGGACTTCACAGAGACATATCTCATTCCCTAACCTCAACCATTACAAATGTGTGCCTAATCTTAAACAGTTACCCCAACCCAGGCCGTACTCTAACCCTAAATTCAAACTGAATCTTAAACCTCCTGGTGGATGATCTTTGCAGCTCCCTGTAGTTTTATATACTGAGCAGAGAAGGAAGATTCTACATTTATTTAGTAACTGGACTATCCAGCATCACATTTTGTGCAATTTTGGTAAAGAGGACATCTACAGTGATATGGGTCCATTGATCTGGTAGAACTTTACAGAATTAGTTATTCTCATTCTTATATTCTTAAAGGGCATTTGCATCGCTGGAAATGCAGGCATTTTTTTTTGCTGGTACAATGACATGAAAAACAATCGCTCTGGAGACAGAGACACTTTAATGACTGTAAAACAAAACACCTTTTGTTAGCTTACTTATAATATATATATTGTACATCATATACCTCACATTATGTGTTTGAATAAAGCACAAGCAACGTTTTTTTTGCTTCCTGCCTCTTTATTCTTGGCTGGGTCAGACTCTGTACTGGCCTACTTAGCAGATGGAGGCCAATGATATGGGAATACTTTGTCAGGTATGTTGTGCAGTAAACAGAATTAAAGGAAAAAACACAGGAGATAGACAGCGACGGACAGACAGAGGTGGAGATGATTCACCCTCAGCCTGAAAGCCTGCTGTTGATCCACTCATCGTACCACCACAAGGCTGTGCAGCCGTAACACTTGCACAACTTTGAGCTCAGGCCCACAACAAAACAGCCGCTTCCCCAACAACAGATTCAAAGATTTAAAGGTGAGGTCACATCTACAGCAGGCACCTGGGGGTAAGTCCAGGTCTTAGGGTAAACCTCTGTCTTTCCCTCTAAGGGTTCAGGTGACTTTAACAGCACCAGACAGGAGACTGAAGAAAAGACTGTCAGGTCAATGAGGGTTTCCTTGTTTATCCCAGCAGGTGAGCAGAGTCACAACAACTAATCACATGAATGTCCCTGCAGCATCGGATGAGACAGATGGATGCACCGATGATTCTTTAAAAAACAAAATAAAACAAAATAAACTCCCGTGTCGATAAAATCCCACTGCTACAGTTTTTTAATGGAGTATATTTTGTTAAGCTCAGCTCTCTGAGCCTCTAACTACAGTTCTGTGTTCCTTTTGACGTCCAAATGTTATTGTCCTCATCTGGACCCTCCTGAGGGAATAAACAGTGTGGTTCAGATTTACTGATTTAATCACACCAAAGGTCATGTAAAAGAGAATGGCTGGGTGGTCTCGGGTTATCTAAGGGGAGAAAAAAATATATAAATCTATTCTGTTGCAGGTGGAAACAAACCAAGGGTTCACAAGTTCAGTGTTTGTCTTAAAGTACTTTGTTACTTAGTAAAAATGTCTGGTGCAATAAACATTTGTTTTGTCAAAATGTGTCACATTTGGTGCGAATGTTGCTAGGTGTGCAAACATTAGCATCGGAACAGGACTATTGTTTGCATGTGTAAAACAAAAGGAGACATTAGAGCTGAAGCTTCTCTATTTGGAGATACATTTTCTTGTATTTTACATGGAAAATAGTCTGTTTGTCATTAACAGTAAAAAAAAAGAGATTTAAGAACCTGCTCTACTAACAATAAGGTAACGGGCTGTTTAGCACCGGGGCCAAATGAACGATAGCTATATAATAAACACATGAAGCACAAGAAGTGGGGTGTCCTAGGTGACAACACGAAGGTGACAACAAATGAAGCCCTACAACTTTGGTTGGTGTTACAGCCTCAAAAAGACACAACTCTGTCTTCTGCTTGGCAACTTTCCCCTTCAGTATACTGTTGGAGTTTAAAAAGAGTACTAACACACAGTTTTCAGAAGGTACGTCCGCTGGTAAGTAACACCGTCTCGACCGCACTACTAAACACAGTTTTTTTGCCAGATTCTCACTGGGCACTTGCTGATGACGTAATAAACTATTCCCAATTCTAACCACTCACCATAAATAAATATAAAATTTGACCATGGAGTGCAATTGCCCCCCCGACAGAACTAACTGGTCTACACATTAACACAAAAGCAGTGTTGAAGTAACAAACCTAACTAATTCATTCTTGGTTCTTCACTTCTTCTTCTGCGTCTGACTCTGGCTCAAACGTATACACTTGGACAGAACTTTGATCTCCACCAGCAATTTCCCTTTGACTGATCAGCTGGGGTTGTGGTTACATGAAGCTGTCCTCAGGTCTTCACCCCACCGAAGGGACAGGCAAGGCACCCAGTGGCTCATTACCATTTAAATGTAAAGGCACAGAAACCAGCCGTTCAGAACAGGACTGTTAAACAGATGTGCAAAGAATCCTGCTGTTGAGACCAACCCTTCAGCTTTATTCACCAAAACATATGACTACATTTCATTTAGATATCTATAAACTATTTTCATTTGAACTTATGTTCTAATATATCCCCTGAGGAATGAAAGTTCCACACAGGCAGCAGGTATTTTTCCACACACTCAATAACTGTGACCACAGTGTTTACATTTAATCAGGTTGTCCAGATGCTGCACTCCCCCTCAGCCCTCTGACCTGGAGTACAACAGGAAGCCTCACGGGGCTGAATGAGGACAGAGAGGGAGCTGACAACACTTCACCAGCAGCCACAGACAGATGAGAACTTCTGCTGCTAAGAGTCGGGATGTGAAGCTGAAAATAGACACTAAGGTTTCAGAGACTGTTTCTCCAGCTATCAGCCACTGACTGAGCCTTCCACTTACATAAGCCGTCAGGACACAGCCACGTCTCTGATGCAGGTGGGATGGTTTTAGTCCAGCACAGACGGAAGGGGGGGAAATAAATGTAGGAACTGCAACAGAATCGTCTGGTGGACAAACCTGCAACCATGACCATTCAATACTAATCAACCAACTAATACAAATGTGTGGATATTCTCAGTATCCAAGTCTTAATAGTCTCAAAAGCAGTTTTTTTCAACTGGACTCACCTCATACAAGTACAAACAATGTTCATGACTTTCAAGACAACAAAATGTGTATCGGATAACCTTTTTTCATGAGAACTGCAGTTTTGTGGTATTGGTAAACCCTGAAGCAAAAGCTGTGACAGACATTTTGAGAATCACTAAGATTACAGCTACATCTTTTTGTGAATCTAATCTCATTTAGTCATCTGTCTGCCTTTGAGCTTAATGTTTTCTAACCTGTGATCCTACGTTAAAAAAAATACTCCTGAAATAGCATGTTCTCCAAGCAAAAAGACACAGGAACTGTGTGCGCTGCAGGAACCTAGCTCCAGATTTTACACTAAGGTTGTCCAAAGAGTTACTAAAGATTACAGTGAAAGGGGAAAGACCACCAACACAAAACATTTTCAGTCAGGACGTTCTTCATTTTCAAATCAGATGCTAACTTCAATTAAATATTAGAAGAAAAACAAATGCTAAGAAACAGAAAAGAAATACCTGGTAGGAATATGAACATTTCAGGTGTCAATCATGTTTAAGTGATGTGTGTAGTTTCTTTAAGTAAGTGTTTGCCAGGTCCTTAAAACAGATCCTACGGTTTCCCGGAAATTAAAAAAAAAAACAGTCATGGCCGTTCTTTCACCTAAATTTTAACAATACAGTCACCTTAAAAAAACAACACACACGAACAAAAGCACTGAGCTTGTGTTTTATGACTCAGTGTTTTTTTGTCCGGTGTGGAGTCATGGTCAACAGAAAAAAACCCAGGCCTCTGAGACACAAAGGCCTGAATCAATGGAGCTTTGGAAAAACTGATGGAAAATCCACTGGGCTGCCCACTGAGAGGAGAGGAGAAAGAATGGGAGGGGGAGGGGGAGGATGGGGAGAGAGAGAGAGAGCGACAGAGGCTAGGGGAGACCACAAACTGCCTCATCTACCCCTATCTCTGAAAAAGCTACAGCAGCAGTCGATATCAGACTCCGACTTTCCTGAAATGACTTCCAGGCCCAGACATGGAGCCAAACACTAACAGCAACACCAATCAGACACACACACACATGCGCACAGACACATCTTACTTGCTAATGAGTGCACACATACAGACACACACATAGATCTCACTTGCTGATGAGTGTACACATGAAAAGAGGAAAACACAGCAGTTCTATTCTCAGCTCTACCATCAAACTGTATGTGCACAGAAAACTGTATCTCAATCAGTGAAATCAGCAATACACACACACACACACACACATATATACATACATATATACACACATATATACATATATACACACATATATATACACACATATATATACACACAAGTATATATATATATATATACATATATATCAGTCACTGTAAGTCTCACTGATTCATGATTAGGGTTAACGACAGCACAGAAAGGTAAAAGCAGCACAAAAGAACACATTTATTTATCTTGAAAGCTAACAGATGTTTACAGGAACACTGTTCACTACCACATGTGGCAGAAAATGGTCAGAATTTTTCCACTGACTTGGGGCAAAACATCTGATTCTGCCCTTGGAATTCTAGAGATGGGGCTTTTAATGCTGCTGTAGATTGCATGGTTCACTACAACTAGGCCTGAGAGAACAGCGTCCAGCCCGGCTTCTGTAGCACACACTTAGGCCTTATTTTAAGGTAAGTTCAAAATTGCCTTGATAAGAGGTTTCCATAGCTATAGAGCTAGTTAAGGTGTCAAACAGCAGAAATATAATATAATAAAAAAAATTAACCAAAAGCAGAAAAATAATTAACAAGTAACAGAAAGATTGTTTAAGAAACATTTGCTTCAAAAGTATAGCATAAAGTGAAATGTTTAGTGGCCAGAATCACAGTCACATGACAAAAACAAAATGGTGTTAAAGAAATTCATTGATTTCCTTGCATTCTTCCTCAGGTATAATTTCAATCTTAAGTAACACTTGTTAACCATCTAAATCCTTGATTAGATGAGCAGACCAGCCAATCACAGACCTAACCTTCCTGCAGAAGCTAAATGGGAAACTGTGTAAGTGTGTGTGTGTGTGTGAGGCTGAATCATCTCCTCCACTGCACCAGCGTCAGTGTTAAATAATAAAAGCTCTTAACTCACATCAGGAAGCTTTAACACAAGAGTGCATTCTTCATCCCAGCATGCATTGCTTCACTTTTAATGCTTTCGGTGTGTTGTGCGTCATGAATCATTAAGTGAATTCTGCCTCAGTGTGAAGAGGGAGGTTGTACAGAGAAGAGGAGGAAGAGGAAATGGAGGAGTAGGTAAATTACCTTCTGAAGGCTGTTTGGGTTCAGCTGCGTCTTGTCTATTATCTTAATTGCAACCTGTGGCGACAAGAAAAAAAAAATACTGCAATGAGATGGAGCAGTAAACAGAAAGACAACAGGAAGGGAGATGTGTTGCTGAAACGTGAGTAGTGACATCACAGGAAATTGAAACATGATTATATTTTTTTTAGAACATTTAGGACGTTTATGGTAAATCTGAAAAAACAAAAGATATCCCAGATTATATCTTTACCCTGAGATAAATCAAACTAGATCAGGAGAATGAGATGGGAACTTTTGCACGACATCTGATCTGAGATTAACATTGAGATTCAGACATGTGTCCAGCTGCTACAGTACAAACCAACAACGTGAATGTGTTCTGCAGATAGCGATCTCATTAGCCTTACGGGAATCAACAATAACCGCTAATGGAAGATTCTGTCTAACAGACATATATTAGTACAAATACACAATACAGTTACTGCTATAGTAATGATTTTTAAGGATTTTTAAGATCAGAATTCCATCACCTGGTCTACACCGTGACTTCTGTAGCCAACATATGTTCTGGTGACTGTTCTACCTGACGTTAGCTCTGGTGTCTGTACCAGAGCTATTGTAGCTAACATTAGCTCTGGTGTCTGTACCAGAGCTATTGCAGCTAACGTTAGCTCTGGTGTCTGCTGTGCTTCAGGTTAATATATGAATCAGCATATGTCATAGTCTATTGACAGTGTAAATGTGTGCTTTGTCTGTGTAGCATACATTAAACCTGACTTTCTTGTTGAACATACATTTCATGACCCTCATTAACCACTGATGTTTAATCAGGCCAACTGTTCCTTCACATTCACAACTCCACTCACCTCTCTGCCTGTGAGAATGTGCCGGGCCAATTTCACTTTGGCAAAGTTGCCTTTCCCAATGGTCTTAAGCAGCCTGTAGTTGCCGACATGCGGCTGCTGCGGTTCCTCCGAGCTGCGTGAACGCACCCCAGTCCGACTAGAGCGTGTACCGATCTCCTGACGACCGTTAGTGTGTGACGTATGCTGTGGAAGGGGGAAATAGAATAATTAAAAAGTCAAGCAAACTTTTTGGTAGCATCACATGCTTGGAGATTTCTGTCAACCTCCAGTCAGGACAATTTGATTTATAGGCCATGGCCCATTTATTGGATTGCAAACCAACAGCTCTGTTGAATTTCAAGCACGACATTCCCACTCTACTGATGCGGATAAAAGCACATACTGCTAATGTCCCTCGTGCTGGCACTTATCCTTTATTATACCACAGAGCTGCTGTTTTTCCAAAAACAAGGTTTAAGTACACAAACTGAAAATGTCATCTAACCAAAACAAAATGTCCTTCAACCAAAGATGCACACTTTTCACTCACATTGGTTTTACAGTCTTAAAAGACTTCCTTATTTGTGTTAGAATTTGCTTCAGATCAGTAATATATCAGACTACTGACTGGTCAGTATTTTGAACAGAGAATTTCCTATCTTTATGCAGAAACCATAAAAGGTTTGGTCGAGTCCTGGACCTCCAAACACATCTATAATAGTCAGATTTACAGAGAGTGTGCATTGTGAATTAAAGAATTGTGACCAGAGTGAAAAGTAGAACATTGAAGTTTAACTACAAAAGACTTATTTCGCTGCGTTGCAGGGATTGTGGGTTTTTTCATCCTTCACATTTTTATGTAAAAATGTGATGGATGTGATCGTTACTTGCACACTGTCCACATAAATCATTGATCATTACTTGCACACTGTCCACATAAATCATTTTACTGACTGAATTGGTTGCACTGTAGAGCCCTGGTTAGCATCAGTTTCAGGTCCCAAACAGTCACATCTGGACTTGAAGGTATGAACAATAATTGTAGCCCATTTAGTAGCAGTTGACTGTAATTTTGTTTAAAGAAAAAAAAATCCATGAACTGCTTCAGGACAAAACAGTAAGTGTAGAACTAAGCCGAAACAGTGACTATCTTGTCAGACTCTGGAAAGTCCGGTTTACCAATTACAGAGGCTGTGAGAAAATACACCAGAACTGAGGGCAGTAAAATCAGAATACAAGCAGGTCTTGTGATTTCTTCAGTACTAAACAAAACAACAACAACAACAAATATGGTGTCATGTTCTGATTGTTGGGAGAAGTAATAATGATTTGTGTTTTTGTGTTGCCCAGCCCTGACAACACCACTGTAGACATTGATTTTTTCATGTTGGTTTGGACTAAAAAACATCACCATCCTATGTCTATAATATGATCAAGAATTCAGTTTGTTTCTAACACAAACACAACAACTATAAAACCAAAAACTATGTTCAAAAAACCTGATGATTTGTTGTCTCGAAAAAGTTGCCAGTGTTTCCACCAAGACAAAGGGTCTGTTTAGATTCTGAGATAAATGTTCTCCTCATCTTGATGTCCTCACCAAAGACCACATTCTCAACAGTACTTTTACAATAATTCTCAAAATATGTTACATTTTGGATGAAAGCATGAGTCAACATATACAATTTCATACAAATGTAACTATGAAAGCCTTTCTAATTGCTGAAATGGTTCCTTTCAATAGTCCTAGTTCCTCAAGTGGAAACAGTCCCTCCCATCCACACCCAAAATTCTGTCATTTACCTAAACAACACTGAAAGTGGCAGCCACAAAACAAGAAAAACCAACAACAGTAGCAGACACTTTCATCAAATCCTCTGAAAAGGAAAGACAGAAACTTCATCCTTTAACACCTCTACAATATTCTTTACAGAGAACTCTCTCAGCTTCTGCCTTTTTCAGGAGACGTCACAGTGAGTCATCGGCAAACAGTTGTTGGCACAGTTTCAACACCAAGTGTCCATTCAGACACATCTTTACCCATTGTATGGGCTGTGGACTGGCACTACGTGGTTTAGAAATGAAAGGGTTAAATGTCTTGCCCGGGGACGCTTCTACACAGAATGGGTATCATACCCCAGACTTCTGGGTTGCCACCTAATAAGCAATGTTACAGTTTCCCAGTGAACTGTGTTGTTTATGACATGTTGGCACCTACAATTAAATTTATATTAATAAAAAACATAAATGTGGGACAAGGTCATAACGGCTCAGTATGTGCTGCAGATATAAAAGAAGACTTCACAAATATCAAATGTTACAAAAGCTGTACATGAAAACAAAATTAAATCTCTGTAAACGTGGCTAAACACTGCAGGCCTGCTTTCAAGATTATTTTAAGATGATAGCAGCACAGATAAAAATATCACCAACAAGGATAAGGTCACTGCTGAAGAGCAAATAAATAAACAGACTGAAGATACATAAGGATCAGGTTTGTGCTGATAAAACAAAAGAGAAACTTCATATTTTGAATTTATTTTCC